CTTAAGGAAGGTGGGAATATTAGGTCCACTAAAAAGTTGGTATTAATTTATTTTATATGACACTATAGTCAAAACTATGCAATTACAATAATTTAGTCAAGACTTCCATTAAAATCAACTAGAAATCCAGAATATAAATTTTTAAAAAAATTATTTAAAAGTTTTTTATTTACCTACCTTCCCTTCCTTCCTTCCTTCCTTCCTTCCTTCCTTCCTTCCTTCCTTCCTTCCTTCTTTCTTTCTTTCTTTCTTCTACGAATTGAACACAGGGCTTTATACATGTTAAGCACATGCTCTACCAGTGAGCTAGACTACCAGCCCTAAAAAATATTTTAGATGTATTCAAGAGCAGGCAGTCAGGTAAAGAAAGAGTTGGGGGTGGGGGAGTGAAACTCAGAACTGGATGAATTTGAGCATCTGTTGTCATGGCCACATGAGGCTTGAGGCCTTTCCTAATATGGGAATCCAATAGGATACTCCTCATAAAGCAGACACCCCAGAGGGATTTAAGGAAAATCAATTATTTCAAACACCGAAACAGAGTTAAGGAGAAAAAAGCTTCCTGGAGGATTCATAGCTATAAGCCAGATCTCATATGGGTGGTCTAAAAATTTTCAAGCTGAGAATTTAGTATGAAATGGTCCTGAACTGCTGGTGCCTCCAGGCATCTATCAGCAGTTTTCTCCAGAGAACATATCATTTCAAAACTCACTAAATTTCCATGCATAAAGCTCTAAGGATCAGATAACTAAAAAAATCACCATATACATAAGAAAATAATGGACCATAAGTAAGAACCAGCATGAACAAAAATCAGAAGAATCAGATCCATAATGCTTCAGATATTAGAGTATTCGGAAACAGAATTTAAAGTGTATATATGAAATGTAATTTAAGAAATTTAGAAGAGGCTTTAAGATATGTGTTCAGAGAAAGAAAAATTTTAAAAATAACCAAACATAACTTTAGAAATAAAAGTAATATACATTAGAAACTAAAAAGATGATGTTAGCAGAAGATGAGACAAAACTGAAGAATCAATGAATAGGAAGACATTTGTGAAATTATCCAGAATGCAGCCCAGAGAGATAAAGAGAAAGATACTATGAAAGAGATGTTCAGAGATATGGAGTGTAGAATGAGAATACATGTGCTATCAGCAGCCTAGAAAGAAAGGAGAGAAAAAGTGGGGTTCAGAATGTTTGAGAACTGATGAAGTCACCAACTCTAGAGTCAAAAAGTCCAAGGATAGCAAGAAAGATGGATTTAAAAAAATCTGTACCTAGATTTACTCTTATTGAGTAAAACTATTGTAAACTAAAGACAAGGAGAAAATTCTAAATGTAGCTAGAGAGAAAAGATGGATTACATTTCAAGATTATTTTTCAAAATTCAAATTGTAACTAAGGAAGCTAGAAGATAGTGTGATTTTTTTTAAAGAATAAGGGTAAAATACATTCCCAAACAAAAAATGAGGGGATATACCAGCACTTACATCATATAATTTAGGCAAATGTAAAGTGATCCTAGATGGGAGATCTAAGGGAAAAATAGGAAAAAAGAACAAAATGAGTGGTAAAGTTCTGGATTAATCTGAACAAACATTGACTGTATAAAACAACATTCACTGGGCCTAGTGGCACATGTCTGTGATCCCAGTTATTTGGGAGGCTGAGGCAGGAAGATTGCAAGTTCAAGGTCCTGTCTCAAAATTAAATATGTTATAAATATTAATTACATACTGTAGTTTTGGATGGGCTTTTAAAGATTCTTGTGTTGTTTTGGAGAAATTGGGTCTATCAGTGAACTCTGAATTTAATCAGTTAGAATCTGCCTGTTAGATGTTATAAACTGTCAGCTAAATGCATAGAAAGTACAAAGCTTTCAAACTTGAAGGTTGATGTGTGAGTGTTGAAACAAAAGCATAAAAAACCACAATCAATCCTAAAGAAGATGAAGGAGGAAAACAAATCAGGAGACACTGACAGGAAGCACAACATTAAAAGGCAAAAATAAGCTCATATTTATCAGAAATTATAATAGGTGCAAATGATTTAAAAGCTGGATCTAATTAGACTATTTAGAAAGTAAAATTTATTAGGCAGATTAAAAACACAATGATTAAAAAGTTCAAATGTAAAAGAATGAAAAGAGATACACTTATACCAGACAAATACTACTCAGAAGAAAACTGCTTAGCATTTAAGGCAAAAGAAATTCACCACATAATGATGAAAGGTTTCATTTACCTGGTAGATATAATAATTATAAATTGGCATGTATAACTGCAAACTATATGAAACAAACAAATAGAAATATTTGCCAGGACTATAAGGTGAAATAGATGAATCCACCAATGTATTAGGACTCACCCCTCCCATTAATTGAACGTGTCAAGCACATGGAAATTCAGTAATAGAAAATGTCAAAACACACTCACTATCCTTGATACATATTGTTAGAATACTGTACCCAAGGGCTGCAGAATATATATTCTTTTTATTTTTTAATTTTTCCTGAGGGGCCAAGGATGGAACTTAGGACATTTCATATGCTAAGCAAGCACTCTACCATTGAGCTACAATTCCAACCCCAGAATATACTTTATAAACCTACACAAAACATTTAAAATAACTCTGAAAACATTTAAAAACATTAATATTGGGCAGACTGTGGTCTTTGAAAATGTTAACATCAAATGTCAATAAGGAAATTCTGCTGAAATATGATTTTGGAAGGTCTAATACCAATTTGAAAGTCTGCCCTTTGTACACTTCTCTATCAGTCATAGGGGAAGTTCTACATGAAGTGTCACTAAGATTATACCACCGGTTTCAATAATCATATTACCAAGATAAGTGAGTATTAAATTCTTCTCCAGTAGTTTTTAGTAAATTATGTATGTAAATCATGTCCATCTGTTTCTCTTTTACCTTGATAATCTCAGAATAAATAGAACTCTTCATTACAGATACCTAAAAGGTGGTTTAAAAACATTCACTTTGGAGTGTTTTTTTTTTCTCTACACATACAAGGTAAATAGAATAAACAACACTGCATATTATGCAGGGCCATAACTGTCACTTAAAATACCAAAAATGGATGGAGAAAACAATTGTACTTTCTCATGATGTAGGCATCCCAGGTAGGGTTTTTTTCTTTCCTTTTTTTTTCTTTTTTTGCTTTGGAGAAGAATTAATTATAGTGAAAGGAGAAGTTCAAAAAATTCATTACACTTGGAGCAGAAGTGGTTTTTAGTTTACAGAATTTATTTCAAGTCTTGGAGTATGCTAATGTCTTAGGTAGAAAAAACTAAATTTGGGAAAAACAAATTTATGTGGTGTAGTTGGCTTAATTATACAACTGAAATTCACAGAATAATTTTTTAAAAGATCACACAAATTTATAGAACTTTAAAACTTGAACATTACTCTGTTCATGTGGCATTACTATAATTCCCATTTTATAAATGTAGGAACTGAGAAACTGAAGTTAAATGTCTTACCCCAAGTCAAGTTATGACAACACATTATGCCAAAATGAAACTTCAAAAAAATTTCAGTTATGTTTTAGCTTCATTTTTGATTAAGAGGCCATAGCTGTGTAATGTCTTGTTTTGTTGACCAAGTAATAATAACTTTGGCAAGAAAGTTTCAGATCTTTGAGTTTAACCTTAGCTTTTTTGATTCTAAGTTCCCTAATTTCCAAGACCTTGTCTGACTTTTATATCTCATGACACTCTATATTCATACCACATTGGATTACCTCCTGCATGAAAACAGACTGAAGTAACACACATTTGGATGACCATCAGTGTAGCCACATGTCCTGTGTTTGCTGGGAGGCTTCCCCGGAAGACGTGGTACCCTCCAGCCTGGGTCAATTTTGAAAGTTCATCATAAGACTTTTTCTATATCTCTTCTGGTAGAATATGAGGCAGCAAGGCAGAGGAAGATGTTTTAATAAGTAAAAGTAAATAGCATCAGATAGCCCTGGGTCTGAATTCTAATATTGCCATTACCCACTGCTTATGCTGGCCCCAGTATCTTCATGGATAAATTTAACTGTAAGAGTATAGCAAATACTGATTCAATGTTTATAACCTGCTTTCTAGTTCTTTGGTGCCCTGTAAGTTAGCCCCTCCTATCCTCATACTTAAGTGGATCCTCCTCAGTGCTCCCCTACACTGATGGTCCTTGAGGCCTGCCACTACATGAACGTGTACTAAAGTTAGTCCTTGGTTGTGCTGCAGTTCCTGGCTTAGGAATGTCTGTTTCCCACCTGTGCCGACAAGTGGAGCACTATCGTTTTGCCACTTGACAGGGTTATTTAGCAGGTGCACATGTCTGAACATTCCTGAAGCAGGAGGGGGCAGCTCTGGATTTCCCAGAGCAGTAAGTAACCAGGCCACAGCTGGAGTGAGGCAAAAGCCAGGAGCATCAACTTGAGCTCTGAATTTGCAGTCTGAAACCAAGGGAACCCAATTCCGTGTGCACTTGATGTTGTAAATGCTACACAAGTCGAGGAACCTTTTCAGGTACTTCACTGGTAGGGAGGCTATAATCTGGACACTCGGAGCTGGACTGGACCCAGAAAGGAAGGCGGTTGGTCCAGTGCTGAGGACACAGGAGGCACCTTGCATTCTGGCTCGGTTGCAAAACGGTATGTGAGCAGGCGCCTGCACCCCCTCTCTCCCCGCTGGCCGCCTGGGGCGCCGGGATCCCGGCTCAGGCGTCCTCTGCAGGCTCCCGCCCTGGGGCCGCGCGGCCCAGGTGAAGCTGCCGGGCGCGTCCCCGTGCGCCCCTTCCCCCGCTCCCGGCGACTTCCTGGTTGGTAGAAGGTGCAGGAGTCGCTGTGGGCGGCCTCGGTCGCAGGAACTAAGAGGCCCCTGCTTTGGTGGCGGCGGGGGCGGCGGCCTGCGGAGACGGGGGCGGCGGCCACGCCGCTGCTGCTGTCACAGAAAGGCTCTGGGGGTGGGGTGGGAGGCGGGGTAGCTCCGGGGCGCCGCGACATGGGCCCGCCGCCACCGCCGCTGTGAGTAGCCTCCTTGGCGGTGGGGCGGCCGGCGGAGGCGGGAGCGGCGCGACCCTCGAGTGGAGGGCAGCTGGCTTCCAGGCCGGCTGCGGGTCGGGACGGACAGCCCCGCAGCGACATGTAACCATGGAGTGCAGGACCAAGTGAGTGGGGACCCGGGGCGCGCGGGGTGGGCGTCCCTCGGCGGCCCCTCCCGGCTCGAATCCTGGCCCGCGCGGCTGCCTCAGCCCCGCCCGGCCGGCTCCCGCGGGGTCGGAGGGGGCGGCGCAGGCGGGGGCGCGGCCGGGCCCCGAGACCCCGCCGCGGGCGGGACGGCTCTAGGCCGCAAAGCCTGCCGGCCCGCGTCGCGTCGGGCGGGGTCCGCGGCTGCCCCCCGGCCGCCGGGGCCGCGCCGACGCCCGCACCACGGGGTGGCCAGACAGCCCGGCCGCGCCGACACCCCCCGTCGTGGGCTTCTCCTCCTCCCGCGGGTGTCAGACTCGACGCGTCTGGGTGGTGCGAGGTGGCCGGGAGGGAGCAGCGTTGAGGTTAAGCGGTTATTATTTAAAGTGCTCTTCTAGCATTAAGATAACCGTTTTTGTAAGCTGTTTTTTTTTTTTTTTCTCAGTTCTGACTTGGATGTTTCCTTTTGCTGTTTCTTAGAAAATTAAACGGGTCCCTGAGGCTTGTTTATTGGAGACATTGTGTGGTGTGTGGTGCTGGCAAAGGGTATGCCTGTGTCAAAGTATTCATCAGTGGCTGTCTTACTTCAGCAGATTAAGTAAAAAGCAATTTGAATAACGATGGTGATTTTTCTTTTAGGTATCTTAGAGGCATGAGTTCTTTATTTTTCTCCTGAAACTAACTTTGGAAAGCATTCCGCCTTTAACTTCCCTCCCTTCAAACTCTTCCCTCAAATTACAATAATAAATATCACATATATTTGTATAATTGCAGAAGGCCTTTTAAATGTCACAGAGTGTAACTGAATCAATATTTAACTTTTATACCTAAGAGAGATTCTAAATAATACTAGAAAAATAGGGAAACTATGTAATTTAAAATTATTTTCTTCAGTGTTTGACACCAAAGTGAGTAGGGTGAGTAAAAAAAGGAGGATACTTTTTGACCTATTATAAGAAGGAAATTACCTGAGTGTGCATTATTTTCATTGAAACAAGCTAATAGTGGGAAAGCCAAGAAAATGTATATTTGCAAATTGATTTATAGAGTTTGTCACTTCCTATGAATCTAGATACATGTAAAGATTTTTTAAATGAACAATTTATTTAAAAGTGAGAGCTGGCATTAATTTCTTGAAGGAAATACATATTAAAAATTGCAAATGTACAAAGACACTAAGGTCTTGGCAGGGGTACCTGAATTATGGGTATTAGCATTTTGGCATTGTGGTGTCACAATCTTGTGATTGTGATGGAAAGAGAGATTAAAACCAGTGTTTTGGGAGAGAAAAGTGGCTTAATAAATTTCACTTCACTGTTTTTGAAATTTAACCAATAGGCTAAATGTGTGAGAAGTTAGTAAAAATGTCAATAAATTCTGAATGAATCAAAGCAACCTTACTGTTCCTGTAGGGAAAAATCTAATGTGGAGGTAGATATTCATTTTCCCCAAAGATAATACATATAAAGCAGATCTTTTTTGTTAGCTTTGGAGTGTGTGAATAGTTTGCTACCATAAACATGTTTAAGTACAGTAAGTACATCTCAAGAAGAGCATATGGGGGCTGGGGATGTGGCTCAAGCGGTAGCGCGCTCGCCTGGTATGCGTGCGGCCCTGGTTCGATCCTCAGCACCACATACAAACAAAGATGTTGTGTCCACCATAACTAAAATAAATAAATAAATATTAAAAAAAAGAGGAGCATATGCAAAGTACCACATTTATAGAGCATTATAAATATTACATGACAATGGCAAGTGGAACCAGGTAGTCATTGCAAGTCCTTTGAAAAAGGCCTGATAACCTATGTTAAGGTGTGGCAGGGTTTAAAGGCACTTAGGAATGCAGTGGCTTTCCAATTTTGATTCAGTAGGATTAAAGCAATGCTTTGCATTTATACAGCAGTATACCTTTATAAGGTACTTGCACATATATTATCTGATTTATAGTTCTCACAGTTCTGTGATGTGGACAAGACTATAGGTAAGAAAACAGTCTTTGAGGTTAAACTCTTTGCCTCAAGTCTCTCTTAAGTTGCTAACTGATAGTGTTATTTTTGCTGTGCTTGTTATAGTTATGTACTTACAAAAAGCATATTGAGACAAGAACAAGATTAGTTTTAGAATTAAGAAAATATAGGGGATGTGGGTATAGCTCAGTGGTAAGTGCTTGCATAGCATGCATAAGGCCCTGGATTTGAGCCACAGCACTTCATCCCTATCCCCTAAAAAGATAAAAAGCAACACACACACACACACACACACACACACACACAGCTTTATACAGATGTTTGTTTGTATTAGGAAATAAATATAACAAAGTTCTTTTTCTTTTAGGGAAAATCCAGAAAGAACCTTTGACTTGGTATTGAAGGTGAAATGCCATGCCTCAGAAAATGAAGGTATGTGTGTTCTAATTCTTAAAATATTTGATTGCATTTGTCAAAACAAGGGTTAACATCATGGACTGCTGGAGCATGATAGTATCAGGAAAGTAAATAATACTACACGTGAATTCTGCATCAAATGTCTCAAGTTGCTAGTAATAAAATAGATACTAGGTCTTTATGGTGGGTTTGGAGAAATCAGGAGTTTTATCGTACAGCTTGAATTTCAAGCATGTGTTAAGCCTGTATAACTTACAATGTATTTTTATCATTTGTTGATAAAATCATTTTTCATAATGGTGAAAGAGTATGTCTTTTCATTTTCTTTCATTTGTTTGAAAATTTAGCTCCATTTTTAAAATGTTTAGTGCATATTCTCTTGCTAATACTTATGGGACCTTCACCAGTTTCCTGGTAATGTTTCTAGAATGTGAAATACAGACTGAGTAGCCCCTACTATTGATTTACTCCAGTAACATGACATTTTCAGAGGGAGGTAACAACAATGTAACATTATTTGGAAGGGTTTCAGCTAACAGTCTGTACAGTTTCCTGAAAAGACAGGATATTTTAGTACTATGACTTTTGTCAGTTTTTCTACCACTTTTGTTATAATGTATGTGTTTGTGGGGGAAAGAGAAGCAGAAAAGGATAAGAAGTATCTTTTCTCATTTAGTTCTTTCTAGTCCATACATGGTACATCTTCATGGATATATTCAACATTTAACTTTATTTGCTGTGTTCTTAGACCCTAGATAGCTAGCATTCTGTGGGGTTTTGTGGAGACTAGCTGGCCATCTAAAGCCTTGGTGTAAAGTCTGCTGACATTCTTAGTTCTAGAGACTAGCCAGCAATTACATACTTTTAAGTAATTTGGAACTGCACACCTTAAAATAGAGGAGCCCAACCCAATTGTGGTGAAATGGGCATGGCTAATTTTAGGTAGTAAGTTACCACATTCCTGGCTCTACCAGCTCTGCCTGCTGATCTTCTGGCCTGTTTGAATTATAGCTGTGATCAGGTGTGTCTACTGGTAAGGAGTGATTCTAAGGTTGCAAAGAGCCTTTTTGGATTAAAAAGGTAATCTTTTTTTATCCTATATATTGTAGTTTGTCCGTTTGCATTCTTTCAGGCCCAACCAAATCCTCTTTACAGAATAGACATGTTATGTGGAATAGATAAATAATTTTTTAAGCTCTGATTTAAATTTATACTGTATTTATGGTATTAGTTAATCTTGCAAATACCTACCATACTATTACCCCAGTGTATGAAGTAATGCTTACCTGAAGTGTTTGTAAAATAGCCTAAATTCATTTGGAAAACATGGAATGTCTGTGTTTTGAATGCATGATTTAAAACTTCTAAAGTGGTCTTGATGAAAGGATGAATCTGCCTTATATAACAACTGATCTATTCATGTGTCACAGAGATTGTGACCTGCTATAAAGATTTTGAGTGATTTGCTCCCTCCTTCTTCACTTTGCCCTTTGTCACTTAGCATGAGCTAGTTATTCCAATATGTATCTTGTACTTCCAACCTTTTTAAATTGCCTTCTTCTTCTTTTTTTTTTTTTTTTTTTGCTGTTGTTATTATCTAAATCACTGCTTCTTAAAAATACCTTCATTTGTATTTGAATAGTCTACCCAATTTGGTGAAATTGAAATATTATAATGGATAAAGTAAACAATTTGGTTTTTCTGTAGGTTATAGTTAATGCATTTTATATGGCTGTTTGGAGCAAAAAATTCTGAAGATTTTTTTAAAAAAGCTAAACTAATTGTAAAGAGCATTAGTCTTTCTTTTTTGATTTTGATCTAAATAGTATGAACAAAATGAATATCTTAGGGTCTAAAAAGTTATCACTTTTGTGCCCTAAAATGTAATGATATCTCTAACTAAGAGGGCTCTAAAAGATAAATTTTATGTCAAATTGAAAGTTTGATGTTTTATAATAATTTTTCAAATTTTTCCTTTATTGATAAATAAGAAGGGAAAATGTATTGAAATTATTTTTTAAATTATTGGACTATTTCACTGTCCATAAGCTCTTTTTAATATGACTCTGAAATGTATACTAACTTATTTGAAGTGGAGTGTCGCGACCCCTTGCCCGCAAGGAAGACGCAACTCAGGAATCTTCTTTCAGCAGTTTATTCAGGCCCTTGATATTTCTTCTTCTCTCTCTTGGATGCCCCTCCCAGCCTTAATCAAGCATCCCAAGCCCCAATGCAAAGCTGCCGCGTGGAGCTTTCTCACAGGGTGGTGAAAAATCATGTGCCAACTTTCCCAGATAAGGAGTTGTTTGTCACAGACCACAGCGGAGCCAGCGTCATCTTGTAATGGCGACCATAATCTGCAGAAACGGCAGAAGCGGCTCACCACAGTGGAGTACTTTTTTTTTTTTTTTTGCTAACATGTAGACAAGCATGGGTGAAATTTTTACATGGTAGTTGAAGTGGAAAACAAAATGTGTAAATTTGGATGCTTTGGGCTACCAATATAAAACTGGTTTGAATACTAAAGAAACTTCAGAGTTCATATAAAGAGGAAACCCAATAGGTCGTGAGTGATCCAGGTTCTTTCCACTTCCCAGCTCTTCCACCCACAGAAGGCTTAGATTCTTGTGACTATAAGATGACCATCAGTAGATGTTGGAAGTCTCCTCTCCTGTTTATGTCTGTAGGGATTTTTATGGCTTTTTATGGCTCTCTCTTTAGATTCAAAAGTTTCTTTCCTAAAATACCCCAGAAAACCTCTTGTTGGATCTCAGTGGCCTGAGTTATCTTGGGCATCACCATTTCCAGTGTACCATTGGCAGAGCAGGTGGAGGGCTGTGGCAAGACAACCATGATTTATTTACTGAATAGTTGGCAAGGAGAAGGTGTTGGGAAACCAATTAAAATATTCTTGGTAAAAGGTTTCTCAGAACATTGCTTTTTTTTTGATGACTACTTGATCAAATAGAAAATAGGTTCAGGGTAGACTTGATTATCGAAAGATTGAAATGCTCTTTACTGTTTGTGTTAAGGTATTTGGTATGCTTCTCTTATTCATTATTTAAATAGGGAAGTTTTAATTTCTCTCATTTTTCCTGAGTAACTTAGGTTATAAGTATCTTTAGAGATAGTTATTATTAAGTTTTAGTTAGTAGTTTGAAACAGTATGAGTTGTTCAAACATAACTTGACATAGCCAACTGTGGTACAATAGTGATCTTGACATGGTCTGTTGCTATTTGGATTTGCTTCAGAGGCATTACATTGATTGTTCTGAGCACAACACATTTTAAAAATTAATTAATTAATTAGTGCCCAGGGATTGGATCTGGGTGCTTTACTACCGAGCCACATCCCAGCCCCTTTTTTTTTTTTAAATTTTTTGGGACAGGGTCTCTCTAAATCATGTAGGGCCTTACTAAGTTGCTGAGGTTGGCTTTTAACTTGTTATCCTCCTACCTCAGCCTCCTGAGTCACTGGGATTACAGGTGTGAGCCACCATGCGCAGCCACAACAAATTTTAGAACACTGAAGAGTAACTTAGCTTCATATGGAGTGCCCCACAAATTTAAAAATCACCATGAGAGGGGTTGCTAGTGTTTCCTATCATGCTTCCTGTGTGCTAGTAGAATTGCTTCTGGTGGTATTGGTGGACTGCTTGTGGCATCTTTTAATGGCCATTTCCCGCAAGATAACCTTAGTAACTTGTAACTCTCCAGAGTGAAGTGCCGAAATTTAGATCATCCTGGTAGATCTCCAAGCTAGTTGCCCTCCTCCCTCTTCTCTTTTTTCTTCTCTATTTCCCATCAGACAGGGAAGTACAGCCAGCAGTGATGGCCTTTGTTCAGTTCTAATAACAGAACTTATTGTTGTTATTCTGCCTCCATTTTTCCTATAGTAATTTAAGATTTCAGGGAAATGAAAAGTAATCCTTCCTCAGTAGAGACAGGACATGCCTCCTCTAAAGGTTTTTCTTTTATGCAGTGACTTTGAGACTGTAGTTTTCTCTTTTTTTATTCTGTTGATAGTTTGCTGCAAGCAACAGAAGCAGCAAACAATGGTGAAGTCCTTCTTCTGATGGCACAGTCCTGATTTTTTAAAAAACACATTGTCTATTTAAGCTTCACAAGTCATAGGGGACCAGAAATATTTATCTCTATTTCACAGATGAAGAAACTGAAGCACAAGGAAATCAAGAAACTTGTCCAAAGTACTAGTTGCAGAGTCTGTACTTTAATCACTGTTGTATTGCATAATGACCTTATGCAATCTCAGTATAGGCTGTTTTATCATTGGAGGAAATATTAGAGTATGTGCTATATGTGATGCAGGTAATTTTTTTGAAACAGTAATATAGTGTTTTAAAATTAATGAATCCAATATAATTCCACCTAAACTACTACCAGGTTTTTTTCATGTGGTTATAGACCCTTAACTCAGCAGACTAACCTCCTAGTCCTTTAATTTTTTTTAGAATTTTATTTGTTAGTAATTTTAAGCACATATATAGCAAATCTTTTTCTTCTTTCTTTCCTCTTTACCTAGAATAATTTTCCTTAGGAATAAATCTCTTTTTATAAACAGACTTTCCACTTTGATCAGCTTATTCAATCTGGTATGAAATTATCCATTTTTTAAAAATCTCTGGTTTATGTTAGCAGTTTAATGACCTTTTACTCTTCTTAAATCAGACCATTAAGTCAAAGAATCCTAACTTAGTATTTTTTGTGGCCTGCACAAAAAGGCATTTCTAAGCCCACTTTGACATTTAATAATGTTTTCTCCTACTGATACCATTCATACTAGAATTCAGAGCCTTTCAATTCTGCATATATTTTAGCACTTATTGTGTTCTTATAGAAATGTCTAATATAGGCAAATATGGTCATACAGATAATATGACTAAATGTCTATTTACCTGCTTGAAATAAGCTCTTCATAGACCATATTAACATATACATATTAATTTGTATCCTTAAGAAAAAACTTATTGCAGTTATCAGACATGTTTAGTGA